CGTTTTTGACATCGGCGCGCAGATTCAATTCCACCTCTCGCCTGCATTCGTATGTTTGTGGCAGCGATCCAGAAGGGGGTGGCGTGACCTTGGGCGAACGGGCGGCACCGGGTTCACGTGCCGACGTGTCGGTGGGTACGGGTTAACGAGAATGTTTTGGTACTCCCGGACGGCCGCTGTTTCTTCTCATTGTGCCACTCGTGACCCTTGTCAAGTGACTTGGATAAAGGCGCTCTATAAATGAGATAAGAACACCACCACCACCAAGGCCACCGTGGGAGACCACGATCTAGAGCTGATGATACAAGTCAAACAAAACCAACACGCAAAAAATACCCGGCGAGCCAAGTTCGATTCCCGCTCACGATGAACAACAGCGGCAAATATTTTCGACCGGTTACCTGGGCCTACCTCCCCTTGGTCGACTACAGCCTCAAAGTAGTACCTGGTGCGGTGGGTTAACAGCATCGCCAATGGGGAGACAAAGGCGGCCGGGCGTGGTGCTGGTTACCGACCCCCTCGTGTGCCGTTCTTGCCTTCATAGGTGCTGCTACTCGCTAACAGCACTTGCCCCAACAGTCTGTGAAGGCTACACGGGGGGTGATCTTTGTCTTTGTTTATTGTTTCAGCCCGAACCTCAGGACAAACCTCAACCCTTCTCCTTCCGAATTCCCAAGTACCTCAAGATGATGTCGCGTGCCCGCAAGAGTGATGGAGGTAACAACATGGCATCGTCATCATCATCGTCGTCATCGTGAACATACCAGATGCACATGCTGTCCGATATCACCCTTATCGAAAATGGTAATCAACTTTAAGACCAAATCTCCGTTGAGATGACTGCCTCGATTGGCTGCTGACTGCTGTTAACTCTCTGGGCTGTGTGCCTTCATTGGTCAGATAAATAACAAATAAAGCACACGGCAGTATGGATTCCTGCAGTCACGAAAGCTTCAAATCAAGATTAACACAACTGTTTCATTGCCAGAAAGGGTAAAACCTTTTCTCATGGTAATCATCATCATCATCACCAGCAGTAATCATCATCAGCAGCAGCAATAGTCACATTGTTATAGACTGGCCAGCCCACTGACCAGCAGGCACATGTGACTTTAATCCTTTCAGCCTGCTTTTGGAAATACTGCGTCTGAAGACTCAGAGAGCCAAGCCCAGCAACGTGTACAGAAGATGGGAGAAGAAACGACGCCTCTGCTGATACACAAATACACCCGCACACACACAAATACACACGCAAATACATGCATACACATACACACAAATACACACATACACACAAATACATGCACACACAAATATATACATACACACAAATACACAAATATATACACAGAAACAACAGCAACTGGTATTTGCCTAAAAGTGGTGATGACACTGCTTTAACCCATTCACACACACACTCTACATGCATACATATAAACACGCTCACACACACAATCACGCACACCTACACACACACATTCTACATGCATACATAAAACACGCTCACACACACAATCAACAACAACAACTGCCATTCACCACTAAGTGGCGGTGACGTCACCACACAATAACGCACACACACACACAAATACAGACACAAAGATCCCCACGCATATAATGTACACCCATCCAATAAGGGCTCACAAGTGATGACATCACATCTACTCCTCTATTTAAGTAAAGAAACTGGAGGATTTCTCCACAAATCTGGCTGTCGCCTGATGGAGCTGGTTGTAATTACTGGCGAAACGTCGTACTCAGATTGTAAATGTTGTGGCTTGGCTCTCCAACACACAACCGGTTAGTGCTGTAACGAATTGGCACGTTCTGGTTACGTAACAAACCCCTTACTAATTGGCTGTGTCGGGTGGTGGGTTTAACGACACAACATTTATATATTTATGCGACCTAACCTGGAAAAACGCCTGTATTGCACTACTACTATACGTTATTCACTACATTACTGCTATACACTACTATATATGATATACTCTTTGGTGCTTTCGGTAAAGTCACGTAGGTATAAAACAAAATAAATCACGTTTTCGGGCGCAACACAAATACATACGCAAATAAATGCTACACTACTATACACTATACACCACTACTAAACACTGTACACTACTATACACAATACACTACTGCTATACATTATACACTACACTACTATTATACACTACTACTACACACTATATACTACACTACTACTATACACTACTACTATAAATTATACACTACTATACACAATACACTACTACTATACATTAAACACTACTACTAAACACTATACACTACTACTATACATTATACACTACACTAACACTATATACTACTATACACAATACACTACTACTATACATTATACACTACACTAACACTATATACTAACATAGCTATCAACCCATACGATTTACCCCGTATTCTTGTACAGGGAAATTGAGTTTTCAGGTCTATACCACGTACAGCCGTTTCAATGCGGGCAACTAAAAAAATAGTATGTGTCTATCTGTTTGTGTTTCTCTCCTTGTGATTATGGGACTTTGTCGGACGAATGTTGAGATTTATAAGAGGCACGGGGCGACCGATAAGGTCTCAATTGATCACCACCACCGTGAGATTTGTTATCAACAACATCAGTGCAAAAACAACAACAAACAACTTATTTAAAAGGCTAAAAACGATTATCGCCAGACACGAATTTGTTCCGGTGCACGCTCGCGTAACTTGTACGTAGCCATTCGGATATTGGAAGTGATGCAGTTTTTTGGTGTTTTTTGTTATTTTAACCGTCAAGGAACGCAATAAAACAAAAAATGTAAACGTAATGAAAGAGCAATGTGCTTTGAATGACCGCTGAGCTTGAACGAAAGGAGGTGACCGCCATGGGAGTCTGAATTGTGAGATGAACGGGGTCGCGCCCTCCCCCACCCAACGTTAAATGTTCGAGACTGTGAGCTGTGACGGCGTGGATGATGTGAATTTGGCCAAAAGCACTAGCAGCACTATCAGCACCACTACCAGCAGCACCAAATTAATGATGGTCGGGGGTTTGCGCGTTAATTACCAGGGTAACGGCACCCTATTAGTGACAAGACATGCGCGTTAATCCCCGAGCAAACGCGCATGGGCGAGCGCAAACACGTGGGTGCAGGTGGTCGCGCTGATGAGGGTGTTTGCGCGTTAAACCCGGGCACAATGGCGAAACGAACGCGGCTGCGGCACGCGTTACACTCGTTGTTCACACCTGCCCCGAACGTCCGCGATCGTTTATCAGTGAATGCGCGCCGATCATCACACTTATGCGCGTACTCGCACCACCCCACGCTCTCTCCAGGAGCACTCCCACGAGGGGGCTCTCGGGTGAAAACCCAGAGGCCAGGTGATGCCCCCACGAGGTCCTACGTGGGGGTACGTGTGTGTGTGTTCGTGTGAGGTCGACTCAGCCTCAAATGAGTACCTGGTGCGGTGTGTAAACATCGCCACTAGGGAAACAAAGGCGGTCGGGCGTGGTGCTGGCCACCCACCCCCTCGTGTACCGCTCTGGCCTTCATAGGTGCTGCTCGCTAACAGCACTTGCCCCAACAGTCTGTTAAGGCTATATGGGGGGTCTTTGTCTTTGTTCGTGTGAGGAGTTGCGAGGGGGGAGCAGCGACGTATACCTGTCAACCCCGTATCAGTGCCCTCCCTACCTTATCACTGACCAATTCAGACCGTATCGGTCACCCCGTGCCCCTTCGACATCTCAACGTTCATCCTACAACGTTCCATCACAAGTAGAGAGACACAAACAGACAATTTCGATTTAAAGCTTTCGTGACTGCAGGGATTCATCTTCTTGGTTCTTTCGGTAAAGTCACGTAGAAGTAAAATAATAAAATAATAAAAATAAAACATAATAAAATAATTCTCACGACGTTTCGGCCACAACGCAAGCAGCCGTCTTTAGGTGGAGAACAGGTCTGTCGAGAGACAGAGTCTGAATGGCACGCCCCAGGCTTGGAGCGACTATTTATGCTGGGATGGAGGGTGAAGAGCGCCTGACAAAATAATTTGCATATCAAGAGGAATTTAGCATATGTATGGGAAATGCAGATATGCGATTAGTACTACTTGTGAAATGCGTAGGAGGTTTGGCGAGGGGTTTAAAGTCATTATGCCCATGCATTATGCAGGATTAGCAACATTATTAGTCTCGATTTGACTGCAGGAATCCATACTCGTAGGTTCTTTCGGTAAAGTCACGTGGGTAGAAAAATAAAATAAATCACGAAGTGACGGACGCTTGTGTTGCGCCCGAAACGTCGTGAAACATTTGTAGTATTATTTTTGCCCCGTATTGAAACGGCCGTACGCCGTGTGGACCTGGGAACTCAATCTCCCTTCTTCTTCTTGGTTCTTTGGGTAAAGTCACGTAGAAGGGAAATAATAAAATAATAAAACATAATAAAATAATTCTCACGACGTCTGACGCTGTCTTCCCGACAGACCTGTTCTTCACCTGAGGACGGCTGCTTGCGTTGTGGCCGAAACGTCGTGAGAATTATTTTATTATGTTTTATTTTTATTATTTTATTACTTCCCTTCTACCTGACTTTACCGAAAGAACCAAGGAGATGAATCCCTGCTCCAGTCACGAAAGCTTAAAATCGAAATTCATTCTCCCTTGTACAAGAATACGGGCTAACCCTCGTGGGTTGACAGCTGTGATGATGATGATGAGGAGCCCACTCCGTTGAGCTGCTATCATTAGTAATAGCCAGGTCGCTTCTGTGACAGACCTACGTAGCAGCAGCAGCACAGTGGTGAGATCTACACGCTTGGTAACAAATACAATAATAAAGTTTAATCGTTGTTAACGCTCTGTCCTGCATCTTGTTGCTTCGTTTTCGTCGTCTTACCCCGCATCTTGCCGCTTTGTCATCTTCGTCGTCTTACCCCGCATCTTGTCGCTTAATCTTCTTCGTCTTAGCCTGCATCTTGTCGCTTCCCGTTCTCTCCACCCCACTCCGTGAGGAGCTGCAGATGCGAGTGATGGCTCAGAGCACTTGCCCCAATAGTCTGCTACAGGCTACACGGGGGACCTTTGTCTTTGTGTGTTCATAGGCGCTGCTGCTACTCGCTAACAGCACTTGCCCCTGCAGTCTGTCGAGGCTACACGGGGGATCTTTGTCTTTGAGTCGTCGTGATTGGTAAACGATGCATTTGACGTTTGGAACGTCGTTACGACGTCATTTTTACGTCGTTTTACGTCGTTTTTAACGTCGTTTTAACGTCGTTTTTTACGTCGTTCTCGCTACAAAGTCGCCCCAAGAATTCCTTCCCTCCCCCACCCCCTGGCACCAGATATTTTTTTTATTTTATTTTCGTTTTTCGCGCCCGCGCTCGAGAAATCCGACAAGCTACGAAGCTCTTCGCGCGACGGCTGCCCCCAGGGTCGTCGCTACGACCCGCGGAGTGAGTGAGGCGGCTGGCTCGGGACTACTTTTTTTGTTGAGGCTCCCCTCCGCATCGGGGGCGGGGCCCGGGGCGACGCACAGCGACTCTGTAACCTTCCGCTCCGGGGCCCGCCATTTAAACAACGTCGCGAACGTCGCCTCGACGTTGGGGATCTCCTGACGCCCGCCACTCGCTCACTCATCCACCACTCACTCATCCACCACTCACTCATCCACCCACCCCACCACTCACTCATCCAGCCACCCACCACTCACTCATCCACCACTCACCCACCCACCACTCACTCATCCACCACTCACTCATCCACCCACCCACCACTCACTCATCCACCCACCCACCACTCATCCACCACTCACTCGCCCACCTACCACTCACTCACTCATCCACCACTCACTCATCCACCACTCATCCAGCCACCCACCACTCACTCATCCACCACTCACTCGCCCACCTACCACTCACTCACTCATCCACCACTCACTCATCCACCACTCACTCATCCAGCCACCCACCACTCACTCATCCACCCACCCACCCACCACTCACTCATCCACCACTCACTCGCCCACCTACCACTCACTCACTCATCCACCACTCACTCATCCAGCCACCCACCACTCATTCACCCACCACTCACCCAGCCACCCACCACTCATTCATCCACCCACCACCCACCACTCACTCACCCACCACTCACCCACCCACCACTCACCCACCACTCACTCATCCACCCACCACTCACTCATCCATCCACCACTCACCATTAATTCACTTATCTGCCACTCATCCATACACTGATCCATCCACCACTCATCCATCCACTACTCATCCATCCACTCATCAATCACACACCCAAAATCGATTATCAACGATTTTGATTAAATCCGTGACCGTCCTCCCCATCATTAAGGCGGATAATCTTTAACGTCTTTCGCTGCATTCGTAGCTAACCGTGCTAATTGGATGTGAGGACATCAAACTAAACACAACAAGGACAACAAGTGATAAAGAAATTAGTTTTATGTGTGAACGTATTTTTGTTTTGCTTCTTCCTCAGATGGCTTCATGCTGTGATTTCTCCCCCGATCAAAGAAGTAAATTAAGACAATCCAAGCTTTGGGATTGTGGTCCGACTTTACGATGATGATGAAACGTGAAGATGCAGATGCTGGTAGGGTCATTTGAACAAAAAACCATCTCGGATAATCACACTTCAAGCGTCCGTACAGCAGAAATTCTTCATTTGTATGCCGGAGAGTTAATCGGCAACAATTACAGGGGGCGGGGGGGCGGTCCCCTATATGCGTCGTCTCGATATGCGTCGTTTCGCACTCACATCGCCGTGGGCCTTTTGAGGAACCCAACGTGAAATTTCCACCGCAAGCGCGTCGCTTACGCCATTTCCCCGCTCGGTTTAGCCGAGTCGACAACACGTACTCTAACAAGTCGTAAAAACGCACTAGCGACGCGTTAAAGCGTACTGTAAGACAACTCGTATTTCGCGCGTGAGCCGCCATCTTGGCCCCATCGTGGTCTCCCTCGTTCGCGTTGCACGTGAGCTACGAGCGCTGCTTGTAGATCGGCGCGCGGACTTTTATCGCAAAACGCCGACCCCGGCCGCTTCGACGATGAGTGGCAAGCGTGGCGCCGTCGACGGCGTGGGTGGCGAGCGTCGGAAAAAGCGCAGTAGCATCGCGCTCGACGTTAAAATGGAGGTGATCAAGCGGAGCAGGGAGGGCGAACGCGCGGTCGACATCGGGCGCCGTTTGAATCTTCCCCCGACGAGCGTGCGCACGATAGTGAAGAATGCCGACGAAATCGAGAGCAAAGCCAAGCACGTGCTCAAGCATTCGGAGGTGAAAATTACACGGCAGAGGAGCGTCGTCATGGAGCAAATGGAGCAGTTGCTGGCGTTGTGGATCGAGGATCTGCACAGCAAGAACGCGCCGATCAGCTTAGCCCTCGTTCAGGAGAAGGCCCTGAGCCTGTACGAGGACTTGAAAAGGGAGTTGGGAGAGGCGGAAGCGGCGAAAGAGAAGCCATTCAAGGCCGCCCGTGGATGGTTTTACAGATTTCAGGCACGATATAGTTTCAAGGACGTTAATATACAAGGAGAGTCGGCCAACGCCGACGCGGATGCTGCTGAGATGTTTCCCGAAAGACTTAAAATCGTTGAAGGAGGTGGGTATGATCCTACACAGGTGCTTAATCATCTCCAAACGCCTTCGCCAATCAAGCGCAACTCATCCACCCCTCGAGGTAAGATCGTGACAATGATTGGTTAAGGTAAAATATGTTTTTTGAAGATTCGAAAATGGTTTTCCGGTTGAGTCATTGCTTAAAAAAGTCACGAACACGTTTTTCTATTAAAACAAAAGGAAAAGGTTTTAAAGTGTAAAGGGATGCTTCTAAACGCTCATGAAATGGTTTTCAGTGAAGTGTTTGAGACGTTTAAATGCTGTCTAAAGGTTATTGAACTCAAAATCGGTGATAGATGTGTACATTCTGTGTACAGTATAGTACTATACATGTACAGTACCTGGTTTTTTGTATATGTACAATACATATTTTGGTTGCTAGGTATGAAACAACATTCCCCTAAGTTACGGTCCCTATCTCTACCTTGCTCCATTGTTTCTTATGGGAGGAATTGCCCTGCTTTGCGTCACAGATGCAATGTTTAAGCTCTTACGGTCCGTATCCCCCCCCATTTTCATGTATTCCTATGGAGGGGAATGTCCCCATTATAAATCGTTTCGTTATAAGTCTCAGCTTTTCGGTCCCTAACCCCGACGTACAGGCGACCCCCGTACTTACGACCTACTTGGTTTCTGGACGACGGTCGTGAGCCGTTGTAAATCGAACCCCTTATTTCCCCTAGGCACAATGTAATACATTGGGACTCCGTTCCTGGAAACCCGTTATGCAACGTAAAAAGAACAAAATTGACCAAGAAAATAGATGAAAATAACCCTAACAACCATTTATTGTAACATCGTGGAGTTATCTTCTGGGGTAGATCTCTGAGACAAATTACGTGAGGATATATGCTGACTGTAGGAGTTCCACAGAGGGATGATTCTTCATGACGTGACCAACAAAACTCTACCGTAACATTTTTTGCCTAGTCATTCCATTGTTTTATTGGTGTCCCAAAGATATTTGCAGTTCACATCATTGCTCTGGGAAATTGAGACATGTTGGGGGAATTGCCACAGAATATTATTTTGCAAAACGATTTTTAAGGTAGTTTTAAAAGGCTTTTTTCACCATTTTGGAGCAACCATTTTACGTGCCCTAACACGTTCGTTTTCAATGTGTCAATAAAATAAAACATTTTAATTTTCAATGCTGAATGACGCTAAATACACTCAGTACAAAAACATGTAATAGGATGTTTTATTTTGCATTAATTGGTGGCTCGGCCAATCAACATTTGAGCTCAGATTAAATCGCGTGTAGGTTGAAACCCAGATTCATAATCTAAACTTGGTGTTTTTTCACAGAATTCTATATCTCGAGCTGGTCAGACACCTCTAGCTCATGTCACTTTCTTCGAAGATCATCTGTCATTTTATTTTGTTAATGGATGTGTGTAGGAGCAGTCACGAAGCAAGAAGACGAAGGGAGTCTGGGCACCGAGAGACTGAGGATTGTGGTGAAAACTGAAGTGGAGCAAGACGGTAAGAGGCCTGCCTATGCATGAAGTTACACCGCGTCAAACTCGCGCAAGAGATCAGGAATTCTAAGAGCATGAGGACAAGCACGTCCTTAGCAGGCCAGCTTGACAGTCTGATTATTGTCTACTGATTTTTGTGTTCAGTTTGTTGTCCTTCCCCCGCACGTCCGATTAGCACGGCTGGCTACGTATGGTGTGAAATAATCTGAACATGCATATAATTGACTTGCCATAAAAGACTGTGATGCATTGTTTGAATCGCAGCTCCAGATCTGAACCGTTTAAAAGTGGAAGAATGCAGTGGGTGGCCAGAGGAGACTGGGAATTCCCTCGAATGTTTGGTCACTGCAGACCAGAACTTCATTGAGGTGGAGTTGTCAGAAGAGGACTTTGGTGGAGGTGAGTCCCAGTTCACCACACCTCTCTTCAAGTCCAGCTTCCTTACAAAGGTCCTGACGGGTCCACCATCTTCCATCGCGTCCTCTTCCACTGTTGGCAGTCGTACGTTCCAGTCTTTGCTTCTGCACTCTTCACGGTCCATAATTTTTCTCGGCCATCCTCTGCCTCTTTTGCCGTCCACCATAATTGCCATTGGTCCCTTAATCTCCCTCTCCATAACCACCGCCACCGTTATTGTTCGCTCTTCATATTCTCATTATACATCTATCCATCATTAACCCCTTTCATTCAATCCATTCATCGTAATTTACTGTCAGAATAATAATTATTCTCAGACGACTATCCCTCATTAACCCCTTTCATTCAATCCACTCATCATTTATTGTCATCAATTTCGCTTTTACCAAATTCACGCATCACAGATTCGCTCCCCCCATCGCTTCCGCTCATCTATTTAAGGCACTATATACATTCCGTTAAGATAAGATTCCTGTTTGGTGCCAATCTTATGACACGACCATACCAGAGAAGTCTGCATTATTACAGCATTGGGAAAAAATTTGTATCTTGTTAAATCACCAATGCTGCTTACTCCATTAACGGGAAGGTGAAAAATTACTTCATAGAAGTCATCCAAGTCCGTGTGATCCCACATCATGTCAGACACAATGGGCACAGCTAGAATGCCCTATTGTTCACGGTCAAATAACCAGCGAAAGTAGCTCACACCCCGTTACCATCCTTAAATGAAAAGAGTTGCGATCCAATCTCTGACTCGCTACCCCTACCATAGGAACAGATTTAACTAATCAGCCCAGACAGCTACGAAGCCTAAACTAATGTCAGGAAAAAGCTAACCCCCCTGTGTGAGTGGCTGCCTGGCTGGCTCGTGGGCCATTTGCTAAGAAGCTACAAAAAACGATCCAGAACTTGAGACTTGATGACCCTCCAAATGAACTACTTGAGGGGAGGGTGGACACGTGTACAGGTTACCCTACACTTCAACATGATTACAACTGCCAGGAGCACAATACAGGCAGTGCCCGGGTTACGGAAGGGTTAGGTTTCCACTAAATATCCGTCACCCGAATTTTCCGTGTGTTGGAAACTGAAAAATGTTCCATATCCGGAAATAGTTGTGCCTCCCCTACCATCTTCTCTCAGTTCTGTATCGCGCTGCCGTGCTTTTGCTATCGCTACCCGTATCGTTTTGGTGAGGGTTTGTACTCCTTCAACTTAGAAGTCGCCAGCCACCACTGTTTTTCACACAAGGCCATGGGTCCAAGGATAACATTGGGCTTCTCGATTATCCGCGCAAATGACGGGGAGGACGGCCGTGAACAATTCAAAATTGCGGATAATCCAAAAATGTAACCATTTTCCACGGATCTCTTTCCAAAAACCACTCATATAGGTATAAGTTATATTTAAGTTTCTCTGCTGTCGCACAGTTTTATAAATTAAAACTCAAAAAATAAATGATTGGATAAATCGCTGAAATTGAAGCACAACTGACGATTTTGATTTTACTCTTTCGATTTAGAACGAATACAAACAATCGATGCGTGGTGCTCAGTGGTAACTCTTTCCTGCTCCCGCCCAGCAGACGAATAACAATGTGTAACTGTTTTTAGATAATTTATTTGGGCTCAAGGGAAACTCCATGAGTTATTAATTCATATCAAAATTTAAGATGCGCGGTTAATCCGCAAATCGGATGAACCGCACGCGGAGTTTCCTGCATGTTTGTGGAACTTCTTTTGCACCGTACGTAGCCAACCATGCGAATCGGAGGTGCGGGTGAAAAGACAATAAGCTGACCACACAAAAAGCAGTTCTAAAGAAATGAGTTTTCAATCTAGATGTTTTAAAAGTGCATGGAAGTTCCCCCTCGCCCACTGAGTCCCGCTCTGCTTGGTCTTGTTAATAGTTGGTGCCGCTGCTGGAGAGTTACAGAGAAGTTGCCCAGCCTCCTCGCTTAAAAGCTCCCCTTGTACGGTGAGTCCTCTGCCTATGTCGCTCCTGTTTTGCGTCGTTTCACTGTAACGCCACTGACCGAATTGGATAAAAAAAAGCGTTGATTCACCACGACGTTTTGAAGAATAGAAAGGACGCGCTACGCCCAGACGCCTCCCCCCCCCAAGTGGTGTTTACAACATCGTCACACTATACATGGCACAACATTGCCACACTACAACACCGCCGCATTGTGCAACAGCGAGATACTGTGGACCGAACAACGTCGCCATACTGTGCACTGTGCAACATCGGCACGCTGCAACACCGCCACGCAGAACACTATAAAATCGCCATACATTGATACACTGTACATCACTATACCGCACACTGTACAATATCGCCATACTGCACACTGTACATCATCACCATTTTGTACACTCCGCGACATTGCCACATTGCACACTGTACAACATTGCCATTCTGTGATACTCTCGTCTTGTGCGCATTAATTGTGAGTTTTCATCTGCCACATTTTTTCGCAGAACCACGCGAAAAGGAGTGGTAAACGACCGGCAAGTGACATTGCTGCCTCGTCGTCGAAGAAACCGAGGAACACCATCAGTTTCGAGGTTAAATTGGACGTGCTGAATCGGTTTGATGCGGGAGAACGTGCCGTGGACATCAGCTCTGATCTTGGCCTGCCACCCACGAGCGTGAGGACAATCCGTGCCAACGCTCACAAGATAAGGGAGTACGCTCGAAGCGTGACCACGTTAAACGCTGCCAGGATAATCAGGGGCAGGGACAAGGTGAAGGACAACATGGAGAGGTTGTTAAGCGTTTGGATCGAGGATCAAGGACAGAGGAACGTGCCCATGAGTTTGATGATGATACAGGAGAAGGCCAAGTCACTATTTCGGGACTTAAAGAAGGAGCACGGTGAGATTTCAACCATGCCAAACTTTTCCGCGAGCCGTGGTTGGTTCGATCGGTTTAAGCGTCGTTGCAACCTGCATAACCTCAAAATGACCAGTGAGGCCGCTGTTGTTGACTTGGGGGCAGCAAAGCGATACCTGGAACAGTTTAAATTCATCGTAGAAGAAGGTGGCTATTCTCCCCAGCAGATTTTCAACGTTGACAAGACCGACTTGCATTGGAAGCGAATGCCTTCCCGCGCGCGCATCCCCGAAGGGGAAAAGGCGGCCGCGGGTTTCGAAGCCGCTAAAGACCGGCTGACCCTCCTGCTCGGCGGCAACGCTTCGGGGGACGTGAAGCTCAAGCCTCTGCTTGTGTACCATTCGGAGCATCCGAGGGCCCTGGCAGGCTACTGCAAGAACAACCTCCCCGTCATTTGGCGGGCAAATAAAGAGGCCCGGGTGACGACGGCCGTGTTCCAGGATTGGTTCACATCGTGCTTTTGCCCTTTCGTGAGGGATCACTGTGCCAGAAACAAGCTGGAGCACAAAGCGCTGCTCGTCTTGGACACTGCGCCCGAGCACCCGGCGAACCTGGACGACCTGGCCGAAAACGTGCGGGTTGTCTTCCTGCCGCCGAACGCGACGTCGCCGCTGCTGCCCGTGGGCCGGGTCGTGACCGCCACGTTCAAGGCGTACTACTTGCGTCGGCTCATGGGCCAGCTGGCCGCTGAGACGGACGGTGTAGGGAAGCCAACGGTCGGGGAGTTCTGGCGCGGCTACGACATCAGGAAGGCCGTCGATAACGTCGGGGCGGCGTGGCGCGAGGTGACGCCGGCGCACCTGAACGGCGCGTGGAGGCAAATCTGGCCCGAGTGTGTCGACGGGTCGACGGGTTTTGCGAAGACGGTGCCAGAAATTCGACGGGAAATCGTCGGGCTAGCCAGGCGAGCCGGGTTTGACGGAGTCGACGAGGGCGACGTTCGGGAGTTGCTCGAGTGGCGCAGCGAGGAACCGTCTCACGAAGACCTGCTTCAGTTGAAACGGCGACGACGACGAGCGGAGGAGGAGGAAGAAGACGAAAGCCTCCATGCTGTAACGCCGCCCCCTAAGCAGCTGACGGCAAAAAGGCTCTCAGAGGCGTTCGGCCTTTTCGAGGCGGGAATGGACATCCTGACGGAGGATGACCCCAACATGGAGCGAAGCTGCGCACTTAAGTGGGGCTTTGAAAGTCTCGTTCGCTGCTACAAGGAGCTGTACCAGCAGAAGAAGAAGAAGGAGGCGGCAACGGCCGTCCAGATGTCCCTGCAATCGTTTTTCGGAGAAGGGCGCTCTGGAAAAGACTCCTGACAGCGGCGCAGAAACAACGCCAGGAAAGTTCCCAGAGAGGAGCCCCTGCAACGGGCCCTAGAAGGAGGGAGCCCGAGGGAAGAGCCAAGAAGAATCTGAATCAGAATATTTATTTATACTGGAGGAATCCGATGAGCTATGAAGCTCTTCTTTTGCACATACGTCCTAAGAGGACCCAGGAATTTCGTTCACCCTCGGATGAAAAGGCAGACAGATCCTGAATTTTTGTCCCGAGTACCTCCTCAAATCCTCACCTTCACCCCCACACCAGGTCTCAAAATGCAATCTCCATCGCCGCCTCTGGTGAGTACTCTGCACTCACTCCGATTAGCACTGTTGGCTATGTACGGTGCGAAAGAAGTTCAACATACCGTCGATCTTCCATTATCCAGCACGCAATTATCCGGCTTCCAACATTATCCGGCGGTACCGCTCCAAAGGCTGTACCAGTCCGGCGATCGGCACCATGTGTGTGACGCAAAAAGTATCTTTGCTTGATTTCAGTGTCAAATATATACAGTACGTTGTACACTACATACAACTTAAGTAATAAAAATACTACATGTATGTGCACCATAAAATGTACAGTGTGATCCGGCAAAAAGTTGCGTTGTGTAATTCGCCGTTCGCATCGGTCCGGCGATCGTGAAACATATGTTGTTGAAACCAGGGCATAGTAGTTGTAGTACGTACATCACTCCATGATGCAGACTCTTCAAGATTGGAGTGGTAAGTATAGTCCAGTAAATACGGTGACTTTTTACCGTAGCGTATTTATTGTTGTCTATTTGTACATTTATTTATGCCAATTTCATATCATAAACACATTTCTAACACAAAACATATACATACAACACCTAAAAACAATGTTATGCAAGAATGTAAAAAATAAGCTATTTTAAATAATGATGATTTGTTGATTATCCGGCGTTTTTTGAAAATCCGGTGCCCACTTCCCCCGCTGAAGTCGCCAGATTATCGACGATCTGCCGTGTTATTTATTTTTGTTGTGTCACATCTTTTTGGGTATCTCATGTTATCTTTTTTGGTACTTGATAGTTTTTTTTCTTCTGCTTAGTTTTGACCAAAAGAAAATTTACCCCACGCGAACGCCTCCTAAATTCGTATCATTTCCGTCAACGGTAACAAAAATACGTTTCAATTTACTCTAATTTTTCGTTCCATAGGTGGGTTTTTATTTTTTATTTACGAGGATGCATCCCCGAACGTAAATGGGAGGACTTTATCAGTAGACTTCAAAAAAAGACACGGTGTTATTCCAAAGAGCTCTTTCTGCGTGTGAGTTGGCGCAGAACGTCAGTGTTGGACTGGGCACACGATGAGAGTTGCGCGGCAGCAAACATTCAGACTTTTAACATACCTGAAACCCTGGAAGGAACGGCAACTTGGCTTCGCACGTCAGCGTGCAGCTCTGTCTGTGGCTGTTCTTCTGCATCCACGTAGTTTAGTAGTAGTTGAATTGAAGGTGGGGGGGGGGGAGTTAACAGCCGACTCGCACCCGCGGTGGCTACATGTGCTATGAGGGGTATAGCCGATTTGAATTGGCCTTCCCTCCATGGCATTATTCAGATTCTCCACAGCGTTACCGTCTGCCACCAATGAGGAGGTAGGGGGTTGTTTTTGGCGGACAAGCGTGGACTTGCCGTTGACTGGTATCAGCGGTGTCAAGATCGGCTTCTGTGGAGGAGGCTCGTGAAGGACGCCACTGGGCAGTTGGAGGCAGTCGCCCTCCAGCAACAAATGGAGGGCAGAGGAGCGACGCTCACAACAACGGGCGGGGCGCCGGGCGGCTAAAACACAGCAAGTTGGTACAGTAGGGGGCACAAGTGGTGCATCTGCCAACCCATGGCACCTGCTGGGTCTGTCCTATGACCTCCTGCCAGCGGATATTCGACACTTCACGTAGCCTTAAAGTGCACATAGCCTGGCAAAAGTGACGTGGTGACATCACTGCCACTTAGTGGCGAATGGCAGTTGTTCTTCTGTGTAGATTCCTCTTGTCTGAACTTTGCCTGATTTTCACTCCTTATGTAGTGATGAGCGTTACTTAAGTAGGTTTATATGATTGCGTGTGCATGCGTTGTCACCTTCTAATTGGAAAGGTGGCATGGACACCCAACGTGATGAAACATCACTGCTTCACTACTGTTCTCAAATTGGAAAAAAGCAAGAGTACGGTAAAGATCCTGTGATGTGATTTGCAGGAGTAGGTCATCCTGCACTGGCATTATTCATGCAAACTCCAGGTCGTCCTCGCAGCAGTGGCTTTTTAGCTCACCACATCGAACACCGCATCGCGCGGTGCCTTCAGACGCGCTTCCGCGGTCGTCTGGAACGCTCTTCCTTCCGATATTAGGAAGCCACTTGGAGCTATGCCACTTTTAAATCATCATCTAGATTTACAAACTAATTTAATAAAAAGCTGCTTTTTGTGTCTAGTTTGTTGTCCTTCCACCACCCCGCCGCATCTCAGATTAGCACTGTTGGCTACATACAGTGCGAAAGAAGTTCAACGTACTTACAGCCAATGTGGTTACACCGACTCACCTCGTGTGTTTCTCTGTGTCTATCTGTCTCTGCCTGTCTCCGTGTCTCTCTCTGTGTTTGTCTCTCTGTCTATCTCTCTATCATTTTAGGACGAGTGTCTCACTCCATGTGCTTCTGTCTCTCTCACCATCTCTGTAGTTGAGTCTTGCATTGTGAAATCTCGATTTACAAACTAATTTCGGTTGTCTATGTACGACGCAAAAGAAGTTCAGCATACGTATGTGAAGACAGGGTGCCATCTCTTGACCAGGAGGGGTAATCACGAGTATGTTTTATATTAACCAACTAGAAGAGGGGTGTAACTTGGTAAAAGGTCGGGGTCAGCCGGGAAGCTCCGGGAACCTGCTCGAAGGTTCTAGAAGGGGGCAGTGGCTGGGGGCGTGGCCGGGGGCGGGGCCTGGCCATGCCGGGAAGTATATAGGGGGGACGTGACCGAAGGTTCGGGGCTGTCGTGGGGTCCCGAGTCTTGGCTGCCGTCGCCGTCTTCGCCGTCATCTCTCTCTTCATCGTTCGGCCGCGTGGCCGATCCTCTGCACGGCTCCCATCGTCGTCGTCGCTATGTTAGTCAGCCAGCTATATAGTTAGACGCCGACGAAGGGGCTGTGTAGATGGGTCAGCTATGCATAGCCGTGTGTATATATTTATCGCCCAGTGATTGTGCCTGAAGTGTGAGAATAAATAAGAAGCCCTCTACATGTTGTGTCTCTGAAGTCGCTCCCTACACATACATAAATTATGGTCCTAAATTTCAAACTTAGAAAATTTTCCTGCAAATGTCTAGATTGGAATATGCATTGTAAACATCACCCCCTTCTGCAAAAAAAAAATTTTCAGTATCCTCCTGTAAAAGAGTTTATTGAGACTCCCCCAGAGTCTTTGCCGGAAAAAGAGATGCATAATAATAATTGAAATGAAACAAACTTTAGAAAACAGTTCGTAACTATATCTTCACGTAAACAGAATGTGCCAATTCGTTACTAGTATAGCACTAACCAGTGTGTTGCAGAGCAAATCCAAAATATTTACAATGTAACAAATTGGCACGTTCTGTTTACATGACAAACCTTACTAATTGACTGTCAGGTGGTGGCGGGTTTAACGACACATTTACGCAATCTAAATGATATTGGTCGCAAAAGCCTATGTGTTAAACGGTCATAACCGTCAGCCCTGATATGTATAGCATTTATAGTTGTGATAATACGGGTTTATATATATGTAAAAAGTTATGCTCTGGTTAATTTTGCGAAGCTATCTTTTGACCAGAAATAAAATAGCACAGACACTATGCTTAGGAGTGTGGTTTAATCTCGGGTGACTTCTACTTAAAGATGATCAGGGTAAGGTCCAACTGGACTCCACCATTATGTTGTGTACGATTCCATGCCAATTTTATCCGCTTTGAATTGACTGAGATTCATTTGTTTGATTACAGAAGTCGGAGCTGATTCTACATATTGAAAAATTGAATTCACTTGAGCAAGATCTGGAAAAAAATGCAAACCTTTTTTATTTTTTACCGGTGCCATTTCTGTCGGTTGTCGTTACATTTTCCTGCATCGGTTTGACGGAACTATGAACTTGTTATTGTTCAAATAAAGCGGCAGAAGAAGCGAAAGAAATGGAGCTCCCTTGAAAACAAAGATGGACGAAGCAGAACGCACCACCAGCAAGATCCCCCTGAACAAGCCTGCAAGCGAAGCGGGAAGGCGCTTGACCCTTTACCGCATTGTGCACGACAGTCGCTGGGACGGGTTTTGCAACGCGCTCGTTAGTTTGAACGCACATTCTGTGTCCCATGGGTGGCGAGAGGCCGCGCGTGCGTTCGAGGGCTTTTGGGTGACGTTCCACACTGGATCGCGCGCTGGCAAGAGAAGCCTCGTGCGTGCAAGGCATGCGGGAAGGAGCCGTGCTTTACATAATGGGTTCGGAGGCACGCGTTGGGACACGCGCTGGCGAGAGAAGCCGCCGCTTGTGCGTGAAGGTTTTTTTTATCAACGTTATACAGTAGACTCGATTATCCGCGCTAATGATGGGAGGACAGCCACGGATAATTCAAAATCGCGGATAATCCAAAAATATAACTATTGTCCGCGGATCTCTATGCCAAAAAACACTCATTGGTATATGTTTTAAGTTAAGAGAATTACATTTTTTTATGAACAAAATAAATATTCATAGTAAAGAATGTATTGATCCTGTTTTATTCCATTTTTTAGTCCATTTCGATTTATAACCAATACTCGCGATCGACCGATCGGTGCGCGTTCTCAGTGATAATAACACTCAGCCCATTAAGTGGACGACAGCAGCAGAGCCTCACCAATCAACATCAATCAAACTCCGCCCACTGTTGTAAATATATGGCAACTACTGTACTGTAGAGTTGATCGCGTGGATTTAGGAATAACCGGAGCAGCATATTTGTTCGGTTTAAGCACCACGTGACTTTTAATAAACATTTCCAACACAAGTCTCCGTCATCAGGTGGGACCGTCACAGCTAGATTTACTGTATCAAGTGAGTCAAAACATTTCAAGATACAAGTTCATAAATACAAGTTAAGGGGGGAGGAGCTTATCTGAGTGTGGTAGCCAATGATTGGAACGTATTGTTGGGGGGGGGGGGGCTAAAAGAGACTGTAGGGGGCGACAGTTGGAAACCGTTGGAGATGGAGCACGAGGATTGGCTGAAGCGAGTCGGGTGAGCGAAGCTTCCAGAAAGGCGGCTCGGGGGATATATAAGTATAACCAGTAAAAACAAAGTTTTTCACTATAAATCCTTTATATGCGTGGCGGCTAGAGTCCTCTCGTCCTCTGGCTTGAGATGGCTGCCACCTATGGGTCAGATGATTGCATTGCACCATTAAGCAATTGGTAATTAAATATAATATTTTTGTCCTAAAAAGTGTAAAATTGTAGAAAATTTTTTTCACGAACATGAATTGTCACGCACAACGAGTCTGTGTGCAAAATGTCATCTCGATTGGATCACGGGAAGTGGGTTAAAAAACGACCGAAAGATTTGCACGGTCCTAAGCAAGCAAGCGAACTTAATATAAAGGATTTAATAAGTATAACCCGTAAAAACAAAGTTTTTCACTCTAAATCCTTTATATGTGTGGCGGCTCGAGTCCTCTCGTCCTCTGGCTTGAGATTGCTGCCACCTATGGGTCAGATGATTGTCTGCCAGTATTAAGCAATTGGTAATTCAATATTTAATTTGTTTTCCCTAAACAGTGTAAAATTTTGGATTTTTTTTTCACGAACATTAATTGTCTCACACAACGAGTCTGTGTGCAAAATGTCAGCTCGATTGGATCACGGGAAGTGGGTTAAAAAATGACCGAAAGGTTTGCACGGTCCTAAGCAAGCAAGCAAGCACGCGAACTTAATATAAAGGATTTAAAAAGGGGACAGCGCAAGGGGAGGGGACGATTGGAGAGAAAGACGAAGTACAAGCACCAAGAACAAAGCCCGGGCCTAGATATAATGTCGTGTCCGAATAAAGGGTCAGAGTCGAGCACGAACGTGTACAGGCGTTACTACATAACTGGTTATGTCTCGAATTATTTTTTTTGGTTTAGATCGTGTAAGGAAAAAAACGTGTGTTTTATAGGGGGCCGTCCATAAATGACGTCACGCGATTTTGGCCGATTTTTGACCCCCCCCCCTCGTCAAAAAGTCAGACCCCCCTCAAATATGACGTCACAAAGCTCTGCTCCCCCCCCAAAAACTATATTTCCATTTTGAAAATAAAACATGCATAAAATCGCTTTAGACTATTGTCATTGTAGTGCGTATTTAATGTGGCGCTACACTCTGATATTGTAGGAGAAAACGCATTAAAAGGTGGCGTTGGAAAGCTGAAATTTAGCATAAAATTCACTTGAAAATATTCAACATCTAACTAAAACTGCAGATGTTCGAAATATTATGTTGAAATTCTCTTATAATTATAAAATATTAAAAGTAATTCTAACTATAAAAAATACTTAAAACTTTGTAGTAGAACGAAGCAAAATGGAGAGTACAATTATAACAATCACATTCATTCCACAGAATGAAAAGCCCTGGTAGAATCATTAAAATAAAAATGTTTAATAACAATCATTAAAAAATGTTCAAAATGTATGCTTCTCCATTCTTCCATGGAGAAGCATAATGCTCCTTCATGGAATAATAAAAGGTGACCTTAGTAAATGTAAATAATAAAATTGTTAATCATGAAAATGTATCAAAATTAGTGTTATAACAATTCTATTTAAGTAGAACGTATTCTTTGGTTATTTCGGTAAAGTCACGTAGGTAAAAAAATAAAAGATCACGACGTTTCGATCGCAACACAAGCAATCGTCATCAGGTGGGACAACCACAGCAAGAAAAAACTGCTGAAGTAGGCGAGAGATCTGCCGTGGCATGAGGTTATACCGGTAGGAACTTCCTGGTCACACCAGCCCACAGGGGATTATTGTGTCCGTCCGTCGTGCAGGGAGGGGCTGGGTGGAGAGGGGAGGGGCTGGGTGGGGAGGGGAGGGTGGGGAGGGGCTGTGAGGGGAGGGTGGGGCTGGGTGGGGAGGGGCTGGTCACCCCGTGGTGCCCTTATAAAACTCAACGTTTAACCTACTCACGCCGGCTTGTGCCCGCCCTCACAGCCGCCGTTGACCCTGGCCATTGACCGAGCAACCCAACGTGTTCCTACCAGCTCCCTCCGCAGGAATGTGTTATAGTAGGCCTCGGTAGTAGGGGGGGAGAGATAAGTGGGGGGGAAGGAGGTGGGGCATTAATTGGACCACACTTGCAACACAAGCAATCCTAATCAGGAGGGACAACCGCAGCAAGAAAATGCTGCAGTTGTCCCACCTGATGAAGTTCGCTTGTGTTGCGATCGAAACGTCGTGATTTGTTTTATTTTATTTCTACCTACGTGATTTTACCAGTTGGGACTTCTGAAAAGAAGCTCATAGCTTGGTGGGGCTTGATACAATAATTTGTATATTTGTAAGTGATTGGGTTACCTTGTCAATACACTGCACCAAGGCCGTAGCCATGGAGTCAACATGGGGGGGGGGACCAAATCTTCCAGAAAATAAATAAATCTAAAATTGAAAACTCATTTTCCTGCCATTTTCTGCCTAAAATAAAAAAAAATTCACTAACACATAGGATGGACTTTATTGTTTATTTTTTACAATAATGTCTAAAACATTGCTGTTTTTATTTTATTTTTTTACCTTTTCTTGTTTCACTGTGTGTCATGGCAGAGATTAGGGATTAATAAAGTACAACCATCACCACAATCATATAAACAGAAATCTATTTCATAGCAATATATATTATAATTACGGCCTTGTACTGCACTCATATCGTGTTTTTGTATCGTGTTTTTGTTGTGACGCTCTGACCGAGTGGACATCTGTGAAAAAAAAGAGCTTTATGGATCTTCAGATTTCTACCTCCCAGTATCAGTGGCGATTGTGACGAAGGCGGCGGTGTCACTGAAGGCTTCGCCCAGAGGCGTTTCACGCTGCATCTTGTCGCTCGGTGGGGTGGCGCCCAGAGGCGTCGGAGACTCGGAAAGACAAAGAGACAGAGAGACACAGAGACATACAGAGAGACACAGAGACATACAGAGAGACACAGAGACATACAGAGAGACACAGAGACACACAAAGAGATACAGAGACACAGAGACATACAGAGAGACACAGAGACATACAGAGAGACACAGAGACACACAAAGAGATACAGAGACACAGAGAGAGACACAGAGACACGGAGAGACATACAGAGAGATACACAGAGACATACAGAGAGATACAGAGACATACAAAGACACAGAGACACAGACACACAGAGACATACAGAGAGACACAGAGACAGAGAGACACAGAGACATACAGAGACAAAGACACACAGAGACAGAGACATACAGAGAGACACAGAGACATACAGAGAGACACAGAGACATACAGAGATAGATACAGAGACATACACGCAGAGAGACACACAGAGACAGAGAGACACAGAGACATACAGAGACACAGACACACAGAGACAGAGACATACAGAGAGACACAGAGACATACAGAGAGATACAGAGACATACAGAGAGAGAGAGATTCAGAGATAGATACGGAGACACATACACACAGAGAGACACAGAGACAGAGAGAGACACAGGCAGAGACACAGAGAGACACACAGAGACACGGAGAGACATACAGAGAGAGACACAGAGACACAGACAGACAGAGACATACAGAGACAGACAGAGAGAGAGAGAGACAGAGATAGATACAGAGACAGAGAGAGACAGAGAGAGACAGAGACACAGAGACATACAGAGACACACACAGAGAGACAGACACACAGAGAGACAGATACACACAGAGACAGAGACACACACAGAGAGACAGACACACAGAGACACACAGAGAGACAAGCGAGGTAAGTCGGTGCAGTGACGGTGGCTGCTACTGTACGTTGCACTTCTTTTGCACCGTACGTAGATTGACAAACTCGTTCCTTTAGAGCTGCTTGTCGTCGTTGTTGTCGTGTTAGTTTGTTGTTGTTGTGTTTAGTTTGTTGTCCTTCCCCTGGACCTCCGATTAGCGCGGTTGGCTACGTACGGTGCGAAAGAAGTTCAACATACATACACTACACTATACAACTACTATATACTACACTATACACTACTATACACACTACACTACACTATACACACTACTCTATAAACTACAAGACACACTACACTATACACTACTCTATACACTACACTCACTATACACTACACTATACACTACTATACACACTACACTACACTATACACACTACTCTATAAACTACAAGACACACTACACTATACACTACTCTATACACTACACTATACACTACACTATTATACACACTACAGTATACACTACTCTATACACTACTATGCACACTGCTCAATACACTATACACTACTATACACACTACACTACACACATAACTATACACACTTAACTATACACGACAATGCACTACAATACACACCACATTATACACTACACTATACACGACTATACACTACACCACTATACTAAATTGAAAACTAATTAATTTAGAGCAGCTTAAATTTCGATTTAAAGCTTTCGTGACTGCAGGGATTCATCTTCTTGGTTTTTTCGGTAAAGTCACGTAGAAGGGAAGTAATAAAATAATAAAAATAAAACATAATAAAATAATATAATAATATAATAAAATAATAATTGTTTTATTATGTTTTATTTTTATTATTTTATTACTTCCCTTCTACGTGACTTTACCGAAAAAACCAAGAAGATTAGAGCGGCTTCTTGTTGTCGTTGTGTTAGTTTGTTGTCCTTCCCCCGCCTCTTCTATTAGCGCGGTTGGCTACGTACGGTGCGAAAAAGAAGCTCAACTTCGTGCACGCGGCACATCAACAACTTCGACTTTCTTTCTCAACGTTAGATGGAGTCGCGCTTTCATTTCCCATTCATCAAACAAGAGCGCGAAGAAGACCCCAGCGCTGGGACGTGGTCGGACCCGGCGATGGGACATGAGGACGCTGGCGATGGTGAGATCCCTCAAAACATCTCCCAAGATCATTTCCCAAGAACATCTCGCAATTGGAAATCGCCGTCCGTACGGCAAAAGTTATTATTTAGTTTTTGGTGCGGCGGGGGAGTTCATCGGCAAACGTTTCTACACGTGGGGGGCTTAGATCGCTGTGAGTGTAAATGTTGATAATCAACGTTTTTGGGTTTAGATCACGTTATTTATAAATGTGTCGTAACCCTCCACCACCCGACACGGCCAATGTAAACCCAAAAAACGTTGATTATGAATAATATTGGTCGCGAAAGCCTACGTGTTAAACTGAGTGTAAATGTCTTCTTGGTTCTTTCGGTAAAGTCACGTAGAAGGGAAGTAATAAAATAATAAAACATAATAAAATTATTTTATTATTTTATTACTTGCCTTCTATGTGACTTTACCGAAAGAACCAAGAAGATGAATCCCTGCAGTCACGAAAGTTTTAAATCGAAATTTGAGTGTAAATGTGTCGTAGAACCTCCAACCACCTGGCAGATTGGGTCTCGAACAGTGAACCACGGCGGTTGTCCACCAAGTTGAGTCTTGGACAGTCAACCCCGCTGGTTTTCTGTGTTGTCGATCTCGAACGGTCGGCCCCCGATGTCGCCCACCTCCGGTCGTCGATCAGTTCCCGAGAAAGCGCCCCGGCCTCGTTCCCCCTGATGTACTCGCTTGGCCCCCACTGCTACCGGACAATGGGCCACCTTACTGAATTGTCACGCGTATGCTGACGGTGCCTTCCGGCCACCTGTTTTCAACCATCGCCCTTCTGGAATCTTCTCTTGCACGCAGCCCTCGACGCAAGGATGTACAACATCCGTGTCGAGGTTGGCGAGGGTGAGTGAGTCAGTGGACAGCTTCAGGAGGGGCGGCCTCGTGAAGATCTCGCCAGCGTCGGCGGGGTTTATGTTGTCGTCCACTGGAGCATTTATTTTAGCATGCCCCCAACAAATTCTTTGGGTCTTACGGTAAAGTCACGTAGATATAGGTTCAAAGGAAATAACAAAAACATAACAAAAAACTACGACGTTTCCATCGCAACGCAAGCAGCGTTCGTCATCGTTCCTGATGACGAACGATTGCGTTGCGATCGAAACGTAGTTTTTTGTTATTTTCTTTGAACCTATCTACGTGACTTTACCGAAAGACCCAAAGAATATGAATTATTATCAAGATTTTCCTCCAACAAGTTTGTTTTGCCATATGTCAATGCAATGAAACGTTTTTAAATGTCAGGAGTGAATTAAGCTAAATACGCTCGTGCAGAGAAAAAAAAATTTATCAGGATGTTTTATAGCGCGTCAACTCTGCGTGTGTGTCGGGTGGTGTTGGATTTCATGTCGCGTTTATATTTACGTGATCTAACCCCACAGCAAAACAACCTTTATTACGAATCGTCTGTTAGAGTTGATTGTTAATGGATGTGTGTAGGAGCAATCACGAAACAAGAAGACGAAGGGAGTCTGGGCACCGAGAGGCTGAGGATTGTGGTGAAAACTGAAGTGGAGCAAGACGGTAAGAGGCCTGCCTACGCATGAAGTTACCCCGCGTCAAACTCGCGCAAGAAATCAGGAATTCCAACAGCATGAGGACAAGCACGTCCTTAGCAGGCCAGCTTGGCAATCTGATTATTGTCTCCTGATTGTTGTGTTCAGTTTGTTGTCCTTCCCCCGCACGTCCGATTAGCACGGCTGGCTACGTACGGTGTGAAATAAGCTGAACATGCATACAAATGACTTGCCATAAAAAACCGTGGTGCATTGTCTGAATCGCACCTCCAGATCTGAACCGTTTCAAAGTGGAAGAATCCAGTGGTTGGCCAGAGGAGACCGGGAATTCCCTCGAATGTTTGGTAACTGCAGACCAGAACTTCATTGAGGTGGAGTTGTCAGAAGAGGACTTTGGTGGAGGTGAGTCCCAGTTCACCATACCTCTCTTCAAGTCCAGCTCCTTTACGAAGGTCCGATGGGTCAATTAGTCGGTGCCACGGTGGCTAAGAGATGTTAACTACCTCGCCTGATGTGCAGGAGGTCGCGGGCTCGATCCCGACCCAGACGATGCCTGCTGCTGTAGATTTGGAGCTTGCATGTCTCTCTCATCATCATCACGGTGGCTAGATGTTAACTACCTCGCCTGGTGTGCAGGAGGTCGTGGGTTCGATCCCGACCCTGACGCCAATTCTTTACTGGTACAGCACACCGGTGTGTTGGAGAGTAAACCCACCACATTTACAAACCTTACCAATTGGCTGTGTTGGGTGTTGGCGAGTTTAACGACACATTTCTATTTCCACAATCTAACACAAAAACCTCTATTATGGATATTGGTCGCGAAAGCTTACGTGTCAAACATACCAAATGTTATAAACTATTCCAGAAACAACTTATATTTTCATCGCCAAAACACTGATCATCTTCCATGTCTATTGATTGCAGTTGGATTGATCAAAATAACCAAGTTATTAACACTCGTAATAATAACAAAGTAACTCGCCACAAAGCGCAACGCCATCTTATTATTAGGTTTCCCACGCCAAAACGGCAAACTCAATCCAATACAACTCAAAAACAGAAAACTCAATCTAATAAAACTCAAAAAACATCTTGGGCCTGCAATGGCGATCAGAAAAACGCTCCACGTCACAAAACCGCTTCTCAATTCCTCTGTTCATGAGTTTGAGCGCCGGTGTTAATATTCTAGACCCAATTATTATAAGTATGTTATATATTGAGATCAACTTTAATGTCAAAAGTCTCAATCGTGCATATATTCATCACCACCGACTCAATCAACAGTCAGTTAACATTACCGAGTTCCCTGTCAGTCAATTGACATTCAAGTAATATCAATTTAACGGTTATATATTATTGGAGCTAATGTAACGCGCAGCTTACCAGCACAAATCTAAATGCTCGGGATCCAATCCCTGATCACTGTCGCATTCACTTCAACATTAATTTATATATTTAACAAAAAAATACACCTGGCTGTAAGAGCCATAAGACAGAAAGTGAGTGTATTATTTCTGTATATACATTCGATGTACATGTGTCATACATTTGTTGACAGACTGGTTATAGTTGATTTCGAATATTCCAATTGTTTAGAAACCCCCCTGTGGTAAGACGCTCCATTGGTTGAACCCATGATGTCACTTCTGGTTTTACAGTATAAATGGGAAGCTATGAGAAGTGCCGAGCGGGGAGCGAGTGGATACAGTCTTTTACCGTGCGACAGGGTGATACAGTACGTGAACAGGCGAAGATATAACTTTAGAAAACGCTCGTTTTTGTGCAACTAAGAAATAACGAAACACTTTGACACCTCAAGCACACGTCAGACTTATTGCTCCCACAAGTTAAGGCGTAGCTTGTTTTCTGGTACAAGAAAGCTGCGCCTATATATTAAAAAAACAACAAACCTGGCTTCCCCGTAGCTCTGCAAATAGTGTCCTAGTTTCCCATCTGCTACTGAGTACACAACTATATGTGCGAGTAATCACGGGTGAGCTCACAACGAACATCCTCTGGCACCCATTCGTTTTATCTTGCATCGGTTAGTCAAACTATGAATTTGTGTGTGTTTACACCCTTTCTATTAACTCACTCTGCCTGTTGTTGTTGTAACTCAATTTTAACCCACTTCCCAATGTGGTACCGACTGCAAACTTGGTATACTTGTGTCATACTGATGACAATACCATATTCTATCATAAAAAAATATATTTTTAAACCTTATTTTTTATATGTTATGTTTCGGCTTGGGTCTAATTATCCACGGTAAACTCACGTTGGCTGTAATTGACCACGGTACCTTACGTTATGGCAAGCTTCAGAGCCACTTCCTGGAGTCGTGAAGTTCTTCCGTTACGAGTACGTTACATTTCATTAAAGCGTGTTTTGAAAAAAGTTTTTATTATTATTACTTATTTCTTCTTCTTAAACGTGCAGATGATGAAGCAAAAGAAAGGGGACTCCTGTGCGAGGAGTGCGGGAAGGGCAGACGCTTCAATGCAAAGACAGACGAAGCGGCGGAACGCACCACCACCAGCTCCACCAGCAACAAGACTCCGCGAGCCTGCAAGCGGTGCGGGAAGGCCCTTGGAATCGCCGCGTCGCGCGCGACAGCCGCCGGCGACAGGAAAAAGCCGCACGCGTGCACGGAGTGCGGGAAGGCGTTCGCAACGCGCTCCTATTTAAAAGCACACTCCGTTTCGCACACAGGCGAGAAGCCGCACGTGTGCAAGGAGTGCGGCAAGGGCTTTGTGCGTCTTTTCGATTTGGAGAGGCACGCGATAACGCACACCCTTGATAAGCCGCACGTGTGCGAGGAGTGCGGCAAGGGCTTCGCGCAACGTGCCAAATTGGAGCTGCACACGAGGTCGCACACCGGCGAGAAGCCTCACGTTTGCACGGAGTGCGGGAAGGGCTTCGCGATACGTTATAGTTTGGAGGCGCACATTCGGTCGCACACGGGCGAGAAGCCCCACGCGTGCGCGGAGTGCGGCAAGGGCTTCGCGCAGCGTTCCGATTTGAAGGCGCACTCCAGAACGCACACGGGCGAGAAGCCGCACGCGTGCGCGGAGTGCGGCAAGGGCTTCGGCCTCCGCTCCACTTTGAAGGTGCACATGAGGACGCACACGGGCGAGAGGCCGCACGTGTGCGCGGAGTGCGGCAAGGGCTTTGCGCAGCGATCCACTCTAGAGGCGCACGTCAGAACGCACACGGGTGAGAGGCCGCACGCGTGCGATGAGTGCGGCAAGGGCTTTGCGCAGCGCTCCGATTTAAAGGCGCACGTCAGGACGCACACGGGCGAGAAGCCGCACGCGTGCAAAGAATGCGGCAAGGGATTTGCGCAGCATTCCCAATTGGAAGCGCACGTCAGGACACACACGGGCGAAAGGCCGCACGTGTGCGAGGAGTGCGGCAAGGGCTTCGCGCTGCGGTCCACGCTCACGCTGCACGTCAGGACGCACACGGGCGAGAGGCCGCACGTGTGCCAGGAGTGCGGCAAGGGCTTTGCCCAGCGCTACACCTTAAAGACCCACTACAGGACACACAGTGGAGAGTGGCCTCACGCGTGCAACGGGTGCGGGAAGGGCTTCGCGCAACGTTCTGACTTGGAGAAACACAAGAACACGCTGGTGAGAAGCCGCATGTGCGCGGGGAGTGTGGGAAGGGGTTTTCTCAGCGCTCAAACGTAGGGAAATCGTAGGAGCACGCTGGTAGGATGCCGCATGTTTGTAAGGAGTGTGGGAAAAGTTTTTTTTACAATGTTCATAACAATTTATAGATCACATCCTTCGTGAATTGGACACAATGGTCGATCGAAAACTCGGGAGGTGCGGAACCAGAGTTCAAAGTTCTTCATGCGTCAGTGTTCTGTCCTCGTGGTGCGTAACTATAGAGACGGTTAAACACCGTCCCAACAATGTGCATTAAAGACAAAATTACCTTCTGCACTTCCTTGTATTCATTGAAACAACCGTTGGAAAGTTCAATTAGAATCGGCAAATACATCCAATATGAGTCGGTACCAGTGCGAAACTGAAACGAAGATAAATGCAGCGTTCTTTACACGTGTAGATTGACAATTATCTCACAATGTGCAATGTATACGCAGGCGGTGTCAGCTCACCTGTAATTAATCACGCGTATCATTGTGCACTCTGCTAATTTGCTACGGAGAGCCAGGTGCAGTTTTTAAAACATATGAGAAGGCAATGATGAGCAGAGATAGGACCCGAGCATCACATGCACAGCAGAGTTCTGAGCGATTAAAACAGAGTGTATCTGTACAACAGCAAACTTTTCGACAATTAGACTACTGATATTGCAGCGAATGCTAACCGAGACCTTTGTTGTCCACATCTTCAACACGGTTACAAGTGTAAAGACTGTCAGTAAGTCTCGAGGTGAAGACAGGGTGTCAGCGAGGCTGGATGCAAAGAGAAGGCGCCAGCAAGTCTGGAGGATCTTGGTTGGGAAATTTCCCAGAGTGTCCAAAAGAGACAGCTGGGGAAATTCCCACGGAGAATCCACGAGGATAAAAGCAGGGCAAAAAGGGATGTTTGGGGCCTGCGGAGAAGGATTCGGGCCGTCGTAGCTGTCTTCATGTCATCACTGTCTGCTCGGTCATACGATCTCCATGTCGGCATTATCTCATGACGACGTGGTCCTAAGCTACGTTACGTGCAATAAAATAAACCTCTAAAGTTCGAGTCCGGAGTCATTACACAAGTAGTACTGCACACAGTCACGTCAATCACCAAAATCCTGCCATTTAGCGCAACCTTACGGTATGAAAAACAATAGGTGTTTACCCTTTCTGGAAGTAAAACAGGAGTTGTGTTAAGATGTTCAAACACCAAATAGGCACAGCTATTGCAAGTCATCATCAAGTACTGCATTAGCCACACATACTTGTGGCAAAACATGCAAACTAATAAACTCTGATAATTATAATATGGGCATTGTCTTTGAAACTGATTGGCCTACACCAGAGCTGCAGCCTTCTTTATGGCCTAGTCTCTGTACCAGTATGAGACCAGCGAACGTGAAAAGGCGAACAATGTAAATACAATGCAAGGCTCATTTCCCATTATACTCGTTTACATTAACATGCCAATCTCTCCCTTTAACGCAGCTGCTGTGCGTGGGTGCGGCGATGGGACTCCTTTGCATCTCTGACCCCGCCTACTTACCCTTGGGTGACACCCACCTCAAACCTGTATAGAACATCTTGTTGCAGCAGCCCTTTCCTGTTCACCAGTTCTACTGCTGTATCTTTCCACCTGATGACGATTACTTGTGTTGCGATCGAAACGTCGTAATTTAATTTATACCTACGTGACTTTACCGAAAGAACCAAAGAGTATGGCATTGTCTTTGAAACTGATAGATCTACACCAGATACAGCAACCTTCATGGCTTGGTCTGAACCAACAGTGTCAGTAGACTAGAGAACAACGACATCTTAACGCCTATTTTATTGTGTGTTGCCAGAAAGGGTGAAAATCATGATCCTTATTTTTAATTCTTTTGATTAGATAGAAATATAAAACCACACCGTATTCGTTGCATCTTGTCGTTTGCAGTGTGGGTTCTTGTTAAAGGCGTCTTGTGTTGGATCCTGTCGTTTGCCGCTGTGTTGGTGCTCGTTTAGAGGCGTCTTGTGCTGCATCTTGTTAGAGGCGTCTTGTGCTGCATCTTGTCGTCGATGGTGGTGTTGGTGCTCGTTAGAGGCGTCTTGTGCTGCATCTTGTCGTTTTATGGGCAGACAGAGTTGGAAGGGAAGAGACACAGAGACAGGTAGAGAGAGACACAGAGAGATAGACAGAGAAATACACGGAGAGAGAGAGAGACAGAGATAGACACAGATACACACACAGAGATAGAGACACAGAGAGATAGACACAGAGAGAGACACAGAGACAGAGAGACACACAGAGAGACAGATAGAGACACAGATAGAGACACAGAGACAGAGAGAGACAGAGACACACAGAGAGAGAGACACACATAGAGAGACAGAGAGAGACGGCTAAACTGAAGTTCTTCAAAGTCAACACATTTCGCGTCGATTGCCTCGCGTGCGAGATGGCCTCGCACTTCGAACTCTCGTTCGCCAAACGAGAGGAGGAAGAGGCTGAGGATCATCATCATCAGCAGAATCATCATCATCAGCAGCGGCAGCATCAGCAGCAGAATAATCATCAGCAGAATCATCATCAGCAGCAGCATCATCATCGTCCCGGGTTCGGGGCGCGCTCCGACTTGATCGTGAAACGCGAAGACGCTGACGCCGCTGGTGAAGATCACTTGGAGAATACAAAACAATCAGCACCACCACCATCACCACCACCATCAGCACTTCCATCACCATCATAACCACCATCATCACCACCATCAGCACCACCACCATCAGCACCACCATCAGCACCACCATCACCACCACCACCAGCACCACCATCATCATCACCACCATCAGCACCATCACCACCACCATCACCACCATCAGCACCATCATCACCACCATCAGCACCACCATCAGCACCTCCACCACCACCATCAGCACCTCCACCATCATCAGCACCTCCACCATCATCAGCACCTCCACCACCATCACCACCACCATCAGCACCTCCACCATCAGCACCACCACCACCACCATCATCACCACCACCACCATCACCACCACCACCACCATCACCACCACCATCAGCACCTCCAACATCACCACCACTAAGTTTGAACCAAAATCTGCACAGCGAGAATCGTTTTTGTACCCCCCCGCCCCATACCGTGGGGTAAGATTGCCGGTTGGTGAGGTTTGTCGCTTAAACAAAACGTGACAATGATAATTGCTTCTCTTCCCTTCTATCTGGCAACAAAACTGACACCTTTTTGCAAGGAGTCATGTTTGCATAGACCGCAATACCTGCAGTCATAAATAGGTATTGCGGTCTATGCAAACATGACTCCTTGCAAAAAGGTGTCAGTTTTGTTGCCAGATAGAAGGGTAAAGAACCAATTATCATATTTTTACTGGCAAATGAGGTCCCCATAGTGTAAAACGTGACAATTTAACACGTAGGAGGCTTTCGCGGCCAAAACCCATAATGCAGGTTTTTAGGGTTACATCTAACCCATAATGCAGGCTTTTAGGGTTACATCTAACCCATAATGCAGTTTTTTTGGGTTACATCTAACCCATAATACAGGTGTTTTAGGGTTACATCTAACCCATAATACAGTTTTTTTTAGGGTTCCATATAACCCATAATACAGTTTTTAGGGTTACATCTAACCCATAATACAGTTTTTTAGGGCTACATCTTACCCATGATACAGTTTTTAGGGTTACATCTAACCCATAATACAGTTTTTAGGGTTACATCTAACCCATGATAATGTTTTTTGGGTTAAATCTAACCCATAATACAATTTTTTGGGGTTAGATCAAACCCATAATGCAGTTTTTTTAGGGTTAGATCTGACCCATAATACAGTTTTTAGGGTTAGATCTAACCCATAATACAGGTTTTTTAGGGTTACATCTAACCCATAATACAGTTTTTTGGGTTACATCTAACCCATAATTCAGGTTTTTAGGGTAAGATCTAACCCCTGATACAGGATTTTTGGGTTAAATCTAACCCATAATACAGTTTTTTAGGGTTACATCTAACCCATAATACAGTTTTTTGGGTTAGATCTAACCCATGATACAGGTTTTTGGTAGTGTACCGGTTAGCGCTACGCTGCGCTATTAACCACGGCTATGACCCGAGTTCAATTCCCGCTCACGGCCACCAACACCGGTGATGATTATCTAAACTGGTCCTGGGTCTTCTCTAGGTTGACTCAGCCTCAAATGAGTACCCGGTGCGGTGTGTAAACATCGCCATTAGGGAGACAAAGGCGGCCGAGCATGGTGCTGGCCACCCACCCCCTCGTGTGCTGTGCCGGCCTTCATAGCTGCGACTCGCTAACAGCACCTGCCCCAGCAGTCTGTTAGAGGCTACACGGGGAATCTTTGTCTTGTTGTGCAGGAGTGGTCGTGAAGCAAGAAGAAGACCAATGGAGGAGTCTGGACGCCGAGACGCTGAGGATTGTCGTGAAAACGGAAGTCCAGGAGGATGGTAAGAGACATCCACCACAGGTGCAGTGAGAGCCGAACTGAAGGCAAGATCTCAAGACATCTAAGAGTAGTAGAGTCTGGTTTTCCTACAACGCCGCGTGTTGTTTTCACAACGCGATTGGATATGCAATGCGATGAATGTATTACGTTTTTTTTAGAACGCGGACACAAATTGGATATGCAGGTGTAGAGGAGTAATATGGAGACGTGACGTCATGCGCGCTGTCCAGTGCGATGACGTCATGTGACGTGACGTCATGCGTGCTGGGCGGGGTGATGACGTCATGTCTCACAAGGGTACTTAAGGGGGACCCCGTGACGAAAGCGGGGTCGTTGTGGGAGCCCGGGATAGAGAGCGGTTGAAGAGACAGCCAGGGGTAGAGCTCAGGGAGTCTGGAGAGAAGCCGGCCGTAGTGATAGAAGGTGCTGCTCTCCCCGGTCGGTCGGTGTTGGCTGAACCCCCGATCCGTCTCGAGGGAGAGAGCCCTGTAGCTAGCCGAGCTAGGAACAGACAGAGTGAAGTTCCGCCTGCAGGACCCAGTGTAGGGCACCTATCCCTGGTGGAGTTTATCTAAACCCTTAATAAATAACCGGCGCAAGCCCTTAACCAAAGACCTGTCTCAGCGTCGTCATTTGCACCTTAACATAGGGACTCCTTTATTTACGAACGAGTTAGGTTCCAGAGGTCTGTTTGTAAGTCGATTTGTTCAACTTTACTCCTGTCGACTCCAAACACGTCGTACGACGTGTACGCTACACACAGGGAATGGTTAAGTTGTATAATGTCCTGCAGATGTAGATGCCACTGGTTCTTCACGTTCCGCAGATGTAGATGCCACTGGTTCTTCACATTCCGCAGATGTAGGTTCCACTGGTTCTTCACGTTCTGCAGATGTAGATGCCACTGGTTATTCATGTTCTGCAGATGTAGATACCACTGGTTCTTCATGTTCTGCAGATGTAGATGCCACTGGTTCTTCACGTTCTGCAGACGTAGATGCCACTGGTTCTTCATGTTCTGCAGATGTAGATGCCACTGGTTCTTCATGTTCTGCAGATGTAGATGCCACTGGTTCTTCACGTTCTGCAGATGTATATGCCACTGGTTCTTCATGTTCTGCAGATGTAGATGCCACTGGTTCTTCATGTTCTGCAGATGTAGATGCCACTGTTTCTTCACATTCTGTAGATGTAGATGCCACTGGTTCCTCATGTTCTGCAGATGTAGATGCCACTAGTTCTTCACGTTCCGCAGATGTAGATGCCACTAGTTCTTCACGTTCTGCAGATGTAGATGCCACTGGTTCCTCACGTTCTGCAGATGTAGATGCCACCACCACTGCCATGTATTGCACGGCGATTGAACTTATGACTCTGCGTCCGAACAGGAAAATGGACATACGGACCGGGTTTGTTTGTACCTCTTGGTAGAGTATTTCCTGTATAACGCGATCAAGTGAACGGAACTACGTCGCTGCGAGTAGGAATAAGCCGGTGGTTGTAACGGCACCCTCGGCGTAGCATCGTCATCGCACATTGGCGATGATGCTGGATGCTTCTCGACGCTTCCTACCATACGCCTCGGTCTTTGTTCAGTCCCCTGCATTATGCATCTCGCGTGTTATCGCGGACTGTTGCTTTACCCCCTACATTATGTTATTTAATCGCAATTTTTTCTTCTTCCATAACGCAGTGTTCTTTAGGAACGCAACTACTACTATTACCGTGCTATGGGGTAAGACAGACTGTGTAAGGGTAAAAGGGTTTGTCGCCGACCATCTTGGCCGTGTGTCTTATCCCCCGTGACGCGCGCCGATAGCTTCCCTTCAGCGGCCGCGGGTGCGCCCCTTCCCCAATTACAGCTTCGGATCTGAAGACCGTTAAAGTGGAAGGCGGCAGTGAGAGGCCAGAGGAGACGACAGAGACCCGTGGGTGTTTGGTCATCGGAGACGAGAACTACATCAAGGTGGAGCTGTCGGCAGAGGACATTGGTGAAGGTGAGTCCATCGTTTGTCGCTTCACTCCTCCCCGTCCAGAGACCCCTTTTATGGAGGTCACTGACTGGGTCCGTGACCTATTTTATTTTTTGTAAATTGCCTTGGCTTAACCATTGATCATCGAGACACGGCGGTCACCGCCTCGTGGCGCTTTGCGGATGTGCTTCCGCGGCCGTCTGGAATGACTCTTCGTTCCGACATGAGGAAGCCACAGCATTTACAATTCGGGTGCTGGGTTTACTCTCCAACACACAACCGGTTAGTGCTGTACTAGTAATGAATTGGCAAGTTTTGTTTGTGTGACAAACCTTTACTTATCGGCTTTGTTGGGTGGTGGCGGGTTTAACGACACATTTATATTTATACATTATAATCAGAGCGTGTTCGTTTGCATGTTCACCACAAGTAACTGTGGGGTTAATGCAGTAACTTGATTCCATGAAAAAGGTTTCTATTTGGTGTTTGAACATCTTAACACAATTCCTGTTTTATTGCCAGAGAGGGCAAAACCTATACTTATTTTTTCATACATTTATATTCACGCGCTCTAACCCCAAAAAAACCTCTGTAGTGGATAATGTTGGACGCGAAAGCCTACTTACTGCGCGCTAAACTAGACCTCCACCGTTGACGATTGGTGGCGTTTGTGACGGTACATTTTTTTTCCTGCATTACCAGCTCCGGATCTGAAGGCCGTTAAGGCGGAAGGAGCCAACGAGCGGCCGAAGGTGACGGCGGAGTTCCGCCGGTGTTCGGTCACCGCGGACAAGAACTTCATCGAGGTGGAGTTGTCAGAGGAGGATGTCGGTGAAGGTGAGCCGCGTTTTATCCGCAACTTTCTTGCCGTTCAGCCCCCCCCCCTTTTCACGAAGGCCGATTAGTCCCCCCCCACCCGCCTGCCCCACCCACATCTCCAACACAACGATTGATTACGTACGGTGCGAAAGAAGTTCGACGAACATCCTCACTTGTTGGCGATCGTACGTTACACAGTAGACTCTCGATTATCCGCGCGTGCGGTTAATCCCATTTGCAGATTAACCGCGCACATGAGATTTTGACGTACATTGATAACACATGGATTTTCCCTTAAGCCCAAATTAATAATCTAAAAAACTGTTATACAACAATGTTGTTCTTGGAAATGTTTTTTGGGCTAAACCGAACAAATATGTTGCTCCGGTTAATCAAAAATCCACGCGGTCGCCACTGCAGTACAGTAGTTGCCATATCTTTACAACAGTGGGTGGCGGAGTTTGATGTTGATTGGCGTGACTCTGCTGCTGTCATCCACTTAGTGGGTCGAGTCTTCTGCGTAGGAGCAGGAAAGTGTTATCATCACTGAGCTCGCGCATCATCAATCATTTCGTTTTTGTATGGACTTTTGCAATAAAACCAGAGCAATATATTCAATCTTCATTTGAAGCGTTCGTCACTGCTGGAATCCATACTCTTTGGTTCTTTCGAACTGCTGGATTATTTTTGTATTTTTATGCCTTAGGACGACCGCTTGTGTTGCGATCGAAACGTCATGATATATTATTTTTTATTTTATTTTATTTTTCTACCTACGTGACTTTACCGAAAGAACCATAGAGTATAGCAATACATTCGTTACGGAAAATTTTTATTTTGCCCATTAACAAACTCAATTTTCTTAACGTGTACTTTATTAACACCTAATATTAGTGGCTTTTGGCATGGGCCATCCACCAGGGAAATTACGGACGGTGAACCGGAGCTTGAGGACCAGATGACCTCCGTAACAACGGCCTGGACCACAATGCCAGTTCCCCAGGATTGTAAATTGCCCCCAGCGAGTAGAATAGTGACTGCATCGATCATAACAAGAGACTGGGGCATCTTGCTCATCATTGTCCCGTGGAAACCAACAATGCGTCCACTGCTAACGAGCTGGCACTTATCACTTTATCTTCCTTGCGTCTGTTAAGCGAACCCTGAATGGTTCTTCTTTTTTACACGCTTTCATTTAACTCACTCTGCCTGTTGTTGTCGTTGTTGTATCCTCAAATCTTGTAACTCAATTTTAACCCACTTCCCAATGTGGTATCGACTGCAAACTTGGCATACTTATGTCATACTGATGACAATACTATCTTCTATAATAAAAAATAAATATTTTAAACAATCTTTTTAATATGTTATGTTTCGGCTTGGGACTAATTGTCCACGGTAAACTGACGTTGGCTGTAATTGACAATTGTCCCTTACATTATGGCAAGCTTCGCAGCCACTTCCTGGAGCCGTGGAGTTCTTCCATTATTAGTACATTTCATAAAAGCCTGTTTTTTTTTTTACTTATCTTCGTTCAGCAGATCATGACGCAAAGGAAACGGAACTCCCGTGCGAGGAGTGCGGGAGGGGCGGACGCTTCGATGCACAGACGGACAGAGCGACGGATCGCAGCAGCGGCAAGACCCCTCGAGCCTGCAAGCGGTGCGGGAAGTCGCTCGGAATCACTGCGCCGTCGTGCGCGAGAGTCGCCGGCGACAGCGAGAAGCCGCACACCTGCAAGGAGTGCGGGAAGGGCTTCACGCGTCTCTCCAACCTGGAGAGACATGCGACGACGCACTCCCTTGACAGACCGCACGCGTGCAAGGAGTGCGGGAAGGGTTTCGCGCAGCGTTGCACGCTGGAGGTGCACGCGAGGTCGCACACCGGCGAGAAGCCGCACGTCTGCGTCGAGTGCGGGAAGGGGTTCGCGGCGCGACACATTTTGGAGGCGCACGCGAGGTCGCACACGGGTGAAAGGCCGCACGCGTGCGCCGAATGCGGCAAGGTCTTCGGGCAGAGCTCCACTTTGAAGGTGCACCTCAGGACGCACACGGGCGAGAGGCCGCACGTCTGCCCCGAGTGCGGCAAGGGCTTCGGGCAGAGCTCCGATTTGAAGGTGCACGTCAGGACACACACGGGCGAAAAGCCGCACGTGTGCTCCGAGTGCGGCAAGGGCTTCGGACTAGGCTCCACGTTGAAGGTGCACATGAGGACGCACACGGGCGAGAGGCCGCACGTGTGCAAGGACTGCGGCAAGGGCTTCGCGCAGCGGTCCACTCTAGAGGCGCACGGCAGAACGCACAGCGGCGAGAAGCCGCACGTTTGCTCTGAGTGCGGCAAGGGCTTTTCACAGCGCTACACCTTGAAGATACACTCCAGGACGCACACTGGCGAGTGGCCCCACGTGTGCCAGGAGTGCGGGAAGGGATTCGCGCGACGCTCTGACCTGGAGAAACACAGGAGCACGCCTGTGAGGAGCCGCATGTGCGCCGGGAGTGTGGGAATCGTTTTTCTCAACGTCATACTGTGACGGCACATTCCAGGACACACGCAGCACTCGACTTAACCCTTCCCCCCCCATTCCGAGACATCTGCAAGTAGGCAGGGTCGGCGTTGATTTTACTTAGAGAGTAGCGGTGGCGCCGTTTTTTATAGAGATGTCGTTACTCACCGCAGAGAACCGTAGCGACACGACCGCCGCCGCCACTCTACGATGGCCGGCGCCAAAACTGAGCCACACTCCCTCCCCGCATGGCCTTGTGAGAGCCTCGGTGTACCAATAAAGTTACTTCAGTTATTTTTCCAGTGTCGTTTTGACTATGTACACGTACGTCATCGGAATGGAATCGGAACAAAACCGATGGCGTGTACATGTGTGTACGTCATCGCCAACGGGGGTGGGGAGGCACACACATTACACACACACTACACACACACATGGGTAAGAAGCGGCACGCGCGTGCCAGGAGTGTGGGATAAGGTTTTTTTTTTAAAAATCAACAGTCAACACTTTCAGAACACACCCGAGAACGCAGACTGGGGGTGGGGGGGAGTTGTGATCCGTTAACACGTCCACACATCCGGTCCCGTGCCCGCGAGATCCGTTTGGGAGACCAGCGCGCGCGTTGGAAGACTTGCTTCCGTCAAGCATTGCGAGGCAGCGCGCAAGGCGAGAATCCGCAAGCGAAGGAAACGGAGCTCCCGTGAAGGGTTTTTTGTCGCTTCGCGAAGCGAGCAAAGATGTGTCAAGTGAAGACGACGTCACCAGTAAAGACGACGTCGTGAGTCGAGGAGACGCGAGGCGCGGGGGACAGAGACACGGGGAGTGAGACACGGTGATAGATACATAGGTATAGAGCCACAGAGAGACACGCAGATAGATACATAGATGGACTCGGGACACGCAACGTCGGATATGAGGACCTTTATTGTAACACACCGACTCGCAAGCCTCAATCACCATTCCTCCCAGCCCCCTTCTCGACCCTCTCCTTGTATCCCTGCCCCCCTCCATCTCGTCCCCCCTCTTCCTCCATCAATCTCATCTCTCTGCGACCCACCCAACCAACTCCCCGCTGTTTCCTCCCCCATATTACACTTTCCCGCTCTTTTACTTTTGAAACCAAGCTGACCAATCCTAGCTCAGTATTTTCTCTGGCACCTCCCCTGGGTTTGGGCCCGCCCCGCCCTCTGATGTTGATTGACTCCTCCCTCTCTCCCCGATCCCAAGATGTAATAAAGTGCGAGGATAATATGCAAGGTATAATATCCTCCTACGGAGAAAGAAACACGCGAGTCATCCCCAGCTCAGCATAGTTACCAACAAACCCCTTTGATGGCCAAGGAATTTCCATTAGTAACCACAACAACTGTGTAGGAGAACTGCAAGGAGAAATTGATGAAGTGTACGCGTTGAGATGATTGCGAAGAGGTGGCCGAGGGGCGATGTAAAGGGGACGGCGAAATGTTTCCACGTTGAGGTGATTGAAGACACTCGCCCTAAGTGGGGTGGGAGGGGCCAACTGTTCGATTTGGAGGCGGGGCCCCGCAGTCTGGGCCCAACAAGCTACGAGGTGGGCGACTTCGGGGCTCACTGTTGGCGGAGCTATGAGGTGGAAGCCGTCGGGGCTGACTGTTCGCGGAGCTGTATAAACACGTTATTCTTTGGAAATCAAAGACTTCACCTTTTTCAAAGGTTTAACTTAACTTGATTCCTCTATGTCGTGGTCAAATATTGTGATAAAAAATTTGTCCACTTCCCGTTGTCCAATCAATTCCACATTTTGCACGTGTACTCAGATCCGGTGACAATGCGTGCCCGTATCAAAATCGGCATGAATTAATTAATTAATTCGCTACTGTAAAGCAATTTACATTTTGTATGGACGCCTTATTATTTATATATATATTTGTGTAGGTCAAAAACGCCGCGGTCCCTAAACTGTGGAATCGGCTCGCACAAAAAGCAGGCGCCACGTGTCTCAGGTTCCATTAACGTACTTCTCGACTGTGAGTTAAACGAAGTTGTTAATAAAACCGTTGCTTTTAAAAAACGTTTTAAAAGGAATTTATTAGAATGGACGTCTCCAAAGAGCATCTTTACGACTGCAATGTAGAATGATAATAATTTAGGAACGAACACGTCTCACGTCTATTCTAAGTATCAACAATCGTAATGGGTTGTTTTTTTGGGTTAGATCGCGTAAATATATGAATGTGTCGTTAAAACCTGCCACCACCTGCCACAGCCAACTAGTAAGGGTTTTAGCGACACATTTATATATTTATGCAATCTAACCCCCAACAAAAACCTTATGGATGATATTGGTTGCGAAAGCCTGCTACGTGTTAAATCGTAATGTATTTTGCGAATTGAATGGATGCACTTAAGGCGGCGAGGTGCATCAACACAGTGACATGTATAAAGACGAGCATGTTACATCTATGATGAGGTGCCTGTGTAATGAGACGTGGGAAATCGCGTCATCTTTTGTGTGTGTATAGCAGGTGTGATATAAGCCCATTGTCTCACCATACCTGTCAACCCCTTATCAGTACCCTGCTTTATTACAGACCAATTCAGACCTTATTGGTCACCCCGTGCCCCTTATACATCTCAACGTTTAGCCCACAAAGCCCCATCACGAGGAGAGAAACAAACACATAGACAATATTTGTTGCCCGTATTGAAACGGCTGCACGCACGTATGGACTTGAACATAAAATTTCCCTGTACTAGAATACGATTAAACCCAATAGGTTGACAGGTATGTCTCACGATTTCTAGAAAGTGGTGTATTTTGGTTTCTCGTTCAACCACGACGACCCCTGTGTGGAGGCATATGTGAATTTGCCATGCAATAAACAATAACCTATACAGTCAATCCGTTTTCTGTTTTGTGTGCATTTGGTTTTCCCTGATGTTCCGGGCTCGTGCACGGGTGATTGGCCCTTCGTGATGACTTTTGTCACCGTAGTTCTTGGGGTTTAGGCGCTACCGTCGTTCCTGAAGAGAGAAAATTCTGGGTTAGGTAGAGACGAGCGCACGGACGGCAGTGGTGCAGACAGATCGGAGCCTTACTTTTTGGTTCTTTCGGTAAAGTCACGGAGGTATAAAATAAAATAAATTAAATCACGACGTTTCGGACGCAACACAAGCGTCCGTCATCAGGTGGGACAACCACAGCAAATCTAGATTATATCGGAGCCTGGTGAGTTTTGTGTGCATGGCAGGTTTGTTGACTCGTAGAAGGCAGATCTTTCAGCCTAGACGGGTGAACAAACCACTGGCCAGGCAATTGGCCAGCGACTGTAGTACTCAACTCCCACCAGCAGAGAGCGATGTCCCCGAGACGTTGGAGGAAATGGACCCAGAATGTCTGACGCTACGATGTCGTTAACTCGACTGCAGTGGCGGAATGATTTTCTCCGGTGAGGGCTTCCTTTGTGCGCACTCAATGGCATTTTTGCATGCATGCATGCGTGCATAGTGACTAACTCGGAGACAGTACTACTTGGAGGCACTTTTATTTCACGGACACCATTGGCATAACACCCTCCATGGGTGCACACTCTACAGTCACTAGCCTATACACAACTCCAACCCTCTAACACTGACGGCACTGAATGGAGACAGCCAACAACTGGCAGCGCAATATCGAGCGAAGAAGACAGCGACGATGTTGACGAGATGGTAACGACGATCTAGAACAGCCACGAGGTCTTCCACAGAGGCCCCTCTTATAGTCTCAGCGTGGCCTCGCACTGCCCCGGTGTAACAGGCCGTAGTATACCCCCAGGCCGTAGTATACCCGGGGTTAAAACGGCCTAGGCTAGATTATACCCGGGTATATTATGGCCTAGGCGAATTTATACTCTGGGGTATATTATGGCCTAGGCCAAATTATACCCCTCTAGGCCAAATCATACCCCCATGATAGTAATAGTGTTGAGCGATATACACAAGAATTACTAAATTTTTCCAACATTTTATTTAAAACTGTAAACACAGACTTTGATTGCTTCAACCAGAAAAACGTAAATAATAACCCTAACCCTATCCCTAACCCTATCCATATCCCTAACCCTAAAAATTCTTCAATTGATCAAATTGAGATTCTTCCATTTATACGCGTTTTAGATATCGATTGAAGTTCGTTTGAACTTTCACATGGGGCATATTCTGGCCTGGAGGGGTATGGTCTGGCCCAGTCGAGTTTAAACCCCCGGGTATAGTTTAGCCGAGGACACTTTATCCCCCCGGGTATACTCTGGCCTGGGCCAAACTATACCCGGGTTTAATCGGGGCAGGGGTTATTTTAGCCTGTTACACCGGGCACGCCACCGCCTCTGGAAACCTACTAGCGGGTTCCCGAGGCTTTCCGATGGGACTCCTCTGTGACCTTTCCCCTAGATGTCTCCATCTCGTGTCTATCGTGGCCTGCTGACTTGGAGGGGGGGGGGGGGGCAAATGTGACTCAGACCATCACTTGTCGGTGGCAACCCTGAAGGTTAAACTAAAGAAGGAAGCAAGACAAAGTCCTATCCCACCACTGAACCTTGAGGAATTTAAAGAGGATAGAGCAGCACAGTACACGGTAGAAATGTCTAACAGGTTCAAGGATCTGGAGTTGTTGAAAGAGAAAGAAACACCCAAGAACTTTGGAAGAGCACAAAAAACAGTACCCTTGGATGTTGCAAATGTAACAATCCATCAAGGCTAAGAGACAGAAAACCTGGATTTCTGATGAGACCTTCTTAATCGAAGAGAAAAGGGAAGCGAAGAGCAAAATACCTCAAACAATATCAAGATTTGAAGGCCGAAATACAGAAGAAGCTGCGAATTGGATAAGCAGATGTAGATAGTTGGATGATGTGTGGGTGAAGAACTGGAATCAGCAAACCAAAAAGGAAACGCGAGGAAACGTTTTTTTTTCCAGGCAGCCAGGACAATCACAATGAAATTTCAACCACGACCGCAATGCATCCAAAATGCGACTGGGGAAAAATCTCATGGAAGCTTCGCAGATTTGTCGTCGAGCCGTGGCGAGAGTATTGCGAAGACCTATATGATGAAACATAAATTAGCTGTTTTTATTGAAAATGCTATATTTGATATCTCAAAAACATGATGTGATAGACAAAAACAGATGCCAGATTTGGAATCAGCACCCCAAAATTACCTTAAAACCGTTAGAATACCTTATGCCAGAAAAAGTGTGTTGACCAGTATTATCAGACGAATCCAAGCAAACAAAGACAAAGATCCCCCATATAGCCTGTAACAGACTGTTGGGGCAAGTGCTGTTAGCGAGCAGCACCTATGAAGGCCGGTACGGCACACGAGGGGGTGGGTAGTCCAACACTACGCCCGACCGCCTTTGTCAACCCAGTGGCAATGCTTTTACGCATCGCACCGGGTACTCATTTGAGGCTGTCTCGACCTAGGGGAGGTTTAGATAATGGTCACTGGGTGTTGGTGACCGTGAGTGGGAATCGAACTTGGGTCGCCGGGTTCGCAGAGCAGCGTAGCGTTGACCGCTTGCAACACCGCTCCCCCATCACAACCACCACTTGTCAGACGAATCCAAAGCAAACAACACGACCCTTGCTCGTATTTCACACCGATGTTAATTACCAGCGTTGTGACCTCCATGGTGGTGGGGTCCTGT